GTTATCTACTTATAATAATTTTTATTAACAGATCATATGCAATTTTAGATTTCAGTACCACAATTTTGCTAATTTTCTATATTTTATGATTTTTCGGTAACTGGCGTAATAAACATGTAAAAAAGTTCGGTGTAGTCGATAATGCCTTACAAATATGGTAATTTCCAAAAATACTATGATTTCGGTGAAATCAATAAATATCTGGCTGTCCTAACCGGCCAAAACACCGGGACATTCCTTTAAAACTGAGACTGTCCCTGTTAAACCAGGACGAATAGCAAGCTTAGGTATAGTTGCAATCAGTGTCTGCCTGGTAATAGTCGTTAGGTCATGAACGCGTCCAGACCTTCCTGTTAATTTTGTGTTGAGGGATCATAATTTATAAAGATTTATAAATTATCATAATAATAATTGCAATTTATATTTTTTATAGTTTTAATTACTAGCGGCTTATAGTCAACTTAAAAAATTATCGTTATAAAATAAATCAGTATTATACATATATATTATACATATCATTAAACAGATATTATAAGGTTGTATATTATAAGGTATTATCTATATTATTTATATAACAATGTAGTATTATAAATATTACTAACTATATAGTTAATTTAATTGTTTGTGTGTTTTAAATAAGGCACCAATAAAAATTTTAATATTTTACACTATTAATAAGCACTATTTTATCATTTTAAGAAATAATAATTTTGGAAGCTTTTCTGAAGAAATGTATCCGAGTCCTTTAATTACCAGGTCGATACTGGTAGCAATGCAGGAATTATAAGAAAATAAAAATGAGGCAGGGCTAAAAACTATTGTAAAAACCTATAGTTAAGATTTGAATGAGCAAATTTAAAATCCCATTTCCTTTTATTGAAAAATAAGAGATGGTGACCGAGAGACTAAAATGTGTAGCTCCCAGGTTACAAATTTCAAAATAGGTAAATAAATCAAAAAGAAAGTAAATCATGATATGTGATTTGATTACACAAAACAATTACAGTGGTACCGATGTGTCACAAGGCTGGTATTATTTTAGCTTATTTTAGCAACAGTGGTTAGTGTCACAAATATAGTATATAACCAGCACTAAAGGAGACGTCGGGTAATTTTCAGGCACGGACAAATTATAATTGGTGAAATTCAAGTTTATAATTTTTATATTAACAAAACAAAAATAGTTTTAATAATTTTAGTGATAAAAAATATCGTCATGTTGTTTTAAATATATGTTTTGCACATGCTATTATGGGAAAATTTAATATATTTCGGGTGATTTATATTTAGAAAGGCATAGCTTCTACCGTGAGTACACCTAAAAGCAATTGAACACTTCAATTTTCTTAACGGACAACGTAGGTTACTCGTTGATCATCGCTACATCTCAAAATTATATGAATTTCAAATTTGACATGGTGGAGTTTCCAATTCTCAATACGGGTAATAAGAAGGGATTTTAAAAAAATATTGGAACCGTCAAAAACGGTGACTCAGCGTACAACCAAAACTACAATTTCTTAATTGCTTCACGTACCATTTAGACGCTTCGCAGCTTCCACCAAAGTTTTCCAAAGTTCTCGATTTTCTGCATCCTCAATACTCGCTCCAATTCTCAATCTTTTTAAGTCATCTCTTATTCGATCCATCCATCGTTGATGTGACCTTCCCACTGGTCGTTTTTTATTTGGCTTGTTAATGAGAGTCTGTCTGATCAATCTTCCCTCTGCACACCATACATGGTCAGCCCATTCAAGTCTTTTTGATCTTAAAAAATCTTGTATATTTAAAGTATTATACAGTCTGTTCAAGTCTGCATTTTTTCTCCGCTCGTACAAACTAGTTATTGGATTTAATACACAGATTTAATCAAAACTACAATACCGATTTGAACTTTCGTTGTATTTGTTTTATAAACAACTGTTAAACCAAACTTGGCTTTTATAGTGTTAGGTAATAATCCATTTAAACCTATGTTCCGACCAAGGATGTTCCGTGTGAAGCCGGTTAATTAAGCTGGTTTATTATAAAAACAACAATTGATTTAAATTGGGCTTTTTGTGCTAATCAATTAATTAATTAGCTCTAGTTTTTCAAAATAGTAATATAATACCTAGTAATTATCAAGCGTTATCATTCAATTGAACCAATTTATAACCACAACTTATTTTTGAGTTTATTAATTTATTAATCTATTTATCAATTAATTTGTTATTTTTATTTTTTAAATCATCAAAATCAAAGTTATCTACTTCTTATTACTCACGAAAACTTGATACTTAACTCTATTTTGAAAATAACATACGCCAAATATTATATTCACAGCGTTCTCTTCACCTTTAAGTATGTGTTTTATTCTAAGAATTCATACTTAAAAATATAAATCCCATATGTGCACCATAAACCTTAAATTAATTACTTGAGTTATTGATATAATAGAACAAGAATATAATACATATTTTTTTATAAGAAAAAATTTATTATATTTGTAATTGCATTAGATTATTTTAAATCTGATCTTTATAAATTGTACCCTTGTACGAGTTAAATTAATGATGCATTTTATGTGTGTCTGTTTAATTTTTTTTTCAATTATTGTAGTGTTGAAATAATTTATACAATTATTCTGCAAACATCCTAAATATTGAGAGAGAAACTGTGAAAGTAGGCCACATGGCGTTTGATTCCATTGAACGTCGAACTTTTTTTTTAGTTCTTCTTTGTGTTTTTTTTAGTTTTCTCTGAACATCTAATATCAACATTTTGTATTTAATTAAATAAAACATTACCAAACCTAGAGGCTATGAGATTACGAATAAAGTTTGGAATTTTCTTGAAAAAACGTAATATCATATACTACACATATAGGACGTTCTGTTTAATGCAACTAATGGTAAACTTTCCATTTCTTTCTACCGAAGAATATAAACGTCAAATACGAAAATTCAATTTTATAGAGTGAGTGGGTATTCATAAAAACTGATTTGTGTATACATTTTCATACACATTTTGTGCATTACGATAAATTATCATAAACATAATCAATAAAAAATAATAATTTCATGTCTAATATATTTTTTGTTGCCGAAATCGAAAACTATACATTTATGTTTTAAATGATTGGTATGAAAAAACTAAGTTACGGATCTCATGAGAAAGATATCTATAATTATTTTAACAAAAATATAACCAGTGCAAGTGTTCGTTATTAAGCTCATCGACCAAATAGTTACAGAAAATTATCCTACTTAAATAGATAGAACATCTAACATTTTATCCATATTCTTTGATATTTCAATAGTTTGAGATAACTTAAAATTAGGTCTGATTGACGAATGAAAGTTATGATGTATCTCTTTTTGAACAATATGATAAAAATAAAAAAATAAAAAAATATCAAAAACATGAATTATGATTGAGTTTTAAACCTTGTAAGAATATTATTGCACAATATGTTAAAATATATATTTACACATGCCCCAATTAAAATAATAAGTATTTTATACAAGAATAGATAAAGAATAATGTAAAGATAAAATAAACACAATTGCAGAAAATCAAGCAAGTACTTCCTCAAATTGTATTCCTGAATACGAAATTTACATTTATTTACAGTTATGCTACATGAGCTTACTTTGGAAAAATGATTGGTACATTTGTATAACTTTAAGAGCAAACGTTATTATGAATATATCGTTTTTAACGACGTAGAATTGAAAACTTTGAGGTCAGAATAAAAATGCATTATTTACGTTAAATACGTGTGATAGGAAATGTATTTCAACGAACTCTAATTGTATCATTATTGTATCGCTTACGCATGGGCGTGTGTCGTACAGACGTAATTGTGTAGCCGATAGACAGACATGGTGATTTCATAAGAAATTGGATATACTAGTTGATAGCTTTATTACACGCTTGAAGTTCGAATCAAATTTAATATCGTATGAATATAATATTCCGTTTAAATTGCAGTGACATTTTCATGACCCTACAGTGACGATGTGAATTGCTCGTGTTTCCTATATTTTATTACAACACGCTTAAATGGCCATTCAGGTCTAAATTACGCATCTATTTACACGAGTATTTTGCATATTCATAATATTTTTTTGTATATAATATAGTGACGTACTAAAATGATTATAAATGGTATTGATAGATTTTAATGTTCGATGTCTGAAATAAAGATATAACCATAATTGTGTGAGCACAAGTCACATTATAAAAACCCATTGCTTCTATAATTATATATTTAAATGTATATATATACATATATATAATAAGTAGAATAATAATAGTAAGAATAATAAGAACAAATTTATACATCAACATTTATAAGTCAAATAATAACCCAACACTTGTTATAATTATCATTTTATTTCTTATCTACAGGAAGAACATCGGGTACTGGGATATTTATTACTTTCGTTAAATCATGATTTACCTCATATTGATATTTTATGATAAAAAGTTTTTGTTTAAAAAGTGATTAACAATGTCACTACTCTAATACACATTTATAAATGTAAGGAAACTGATAACCCAATGAGTTCTTAGTGTAATCCCTTTATTATATTTATCTAGATACTTTTTAGACTATGTAATAATAAAACATCGCATCGAAAACTGTTCTGAATGTATTAAGATGAGATATATAGAGGGACAATAATTTAATAATTATTGTATTCGTATATATTAAAAATTTTATATAATACAATCATACCATATTGTAAAATTTTATCAAATAATAAAATAATAATAATCAGTTAAATTTATTACTACAATTTTTAAATACTTATATTTTAATTTTTTATTTCAATTTTTCGATCATTAATAAAAAAAAAAAAAAACAATAAAAACAAAAAAATGAGACATTTTAAAATGATTGTGTAAATATTATAATATATAATATTAGACAAATTAATTGAGGTGTAATTATTTTTAATGTATTACAGGTGATTGAGAATCCCACGTGCAATATATCAAGAAATTCTGCGATGGCGAAAGTTTTGCAGCAAACAGCAATTATTTTATTGGATGAATGTACAATGACGCACAAAAAATCACTTGAAGCAATACACCGCACAATGCTAGATCTGCGTGGCAATCAAAACATTTTTAGTGGTGCATTGATATTATTGTCAGGTGATTTTAGGCAAACACTTCCCTTAATTCCACGCTCAACACCGGCAGATGAGATCAATGCGTGCCTAAAGTCTTCTTTCATGTGGAGATATGTGCGAAAATTGACGCTAAACATAAACATGCGTGTTCAGTTGCAGAATGATCAATCTGCAGATCGGTTTTCGAAGCAATTGTTGGAAATCGGAAATGGCAAAGTTCAAATTGATAACACAAACGGTTTAATTAGTTTGCCAAACAATTTTTGTACAATTCTCCAATCAAAAGAAGAATTGATTGAACGAATGTTTCCAAATATTATCCAGAATCACAGGAATCACAATGGTTGAGTGAACGCGCAATTCTGGCACCAAAAAATGTGCAAGTCAATGCTATCAATTATCTCATCCAAGAAAAATTGCCTGGTGCAGTAATATCATACAAATCTATTGATAGCGCATTGAATGAAGATGATGCAGTCAACTATCCAGTTGAATTTTTGAATTCGTTAGAACCACCCGGTATACCGCCGCATTTCTTGAATTTGAAGTACGGCTCATCAATTATTTTACTACGGAATTTGAATGCACCAAAACTGTGCAACGGCACAAGATTAGCTGTAAAAAGATTGAGCCGAATTTAATCGAAGCCACAATATTGACTGGCAAAGTGAAGGGGAATTTGTACTCATCCCACGTATTCCTCTGATACCAACAGACATGCCATTTGAATTCAAACGGTTGCAATTTCCCGTGCGCCTATCATTCGCTATGTCCATCAATAAGGCACAAGGACAAACGCTCCAAGTATGCGGTTTGGATTTGGAGGAGCCGTGTTTTTCGTACGGGCAATTATACGTGGCCTGTTCAAGAGTTGGCACTCCAAATTGTTTATTTGTGTATGCCCCAAATGGACAAACAAAGAATATTGTTCACACAAATGTGTTGGATTAATAATAAAGAATTTAGAAAAAATAAATGATTTTTATTGCATTTTTGTGTTGGTGCTGCGAAGCGCACAGGAGTCCGCTATTAATTATTATAAAACTAATTTTAACTGTACAACCTACGTGTTATTATTTTCGTATGAAAATTTACGTCGTTTATAGTATTATATTCGTTTGTTGCTAGGGGATCAAAAAAAGAAAGAAGGTAAATAATAAACATCTGATTTAAGAATTGCATTTAGAGAAAGCAATAACTGCACACGGGTGAATTCTATATATGGGCTACGAAGTGCACGGGTTCAGCTAGTATATATATATATATATATATATATATATATATATATATATATATATATATATATATATGTACATACATATATTTATGTCAATATATGAGTACATATGAGTATAATAAGTTTCAAGTAAATTATTTCGTTTTGTTTAATAGTATACTGAAATATACTAATGTATGATCGGTTAGTTTAAATTCCTTTTAATCATATTTTATGTAAACAAATTTTACGCCATATACGGATATGTAGTTATGTCCTTATACATACATACATACATATATATGTGTAGATACGTATTTTAAACTAGAATAACGGTTGACGGGAGAAGTATCGTATAATATGGCCAATATGTTCCTGCAATTAAATTTAAAAGTACACTTTAATTCATATTCCGGTTCAACGAAAGTTTTAATCGTTTGGTTATGTTATATTATTGTTAAAATTTATAATAATATGACGTTCAACCAATATTTGTGGTCTCATTACATCATGATTGATTGACGTGCTTGCCACCGGCCCCCAATATGTACGGAATTAATATGCGAGTACCTATACGAAAAAAAGGCCAGTGTTCGCGAGGACACATGCGTGGTTGGACATTTCGGGAGCTTCCACAGAATAAGAATCGTATTGTGAATATAAACCTGCGCCCTGGGAAGCATACATACTTCCGTACTACACCCACCCAAGATTTACTCGCGCCCGTTGCAAAAGAAGAAACCGACGTGCAATGGGATTTTCTTTTTACGAGAATTTTATGTTATAGAAATTCGTGTTGTACACATCATATGTTATATAGTGTATGTTTATGGGGTGCAAGTAAATATGCACGCAAATGGTATTTCGTTGCACACCCTTATGGTATTACGCACGAGTGAAAAGTTTTACATATGATGGAAACCCAACCAGCAAATCAGATAGACACGGGCGTCGATGTGTGAAAAAAAAATTACAATAAATAGCATTAAAGAAAAAATGTATATATATATAAGTAAACAATAAACATAATGTATAGTGTACAACATGTATCTTACGTCGTACAAGTCGTATAAGGTACAAGCCCACCCAGCCGTTCCGATGCGAAAAAACTAAACGTAACCGAGAAAATAAGTTGCACAGAAAACGTACACGACACGTCTCAAAGAGGACTGCAGCAGCAATAGGGCAGCTGAGAAATAACTTTTTCCCCTCTTTATCCGTCCTCCGGGACTACATGAGTTATTATTTCGCTTGCGTCTGTCACGTCGCATTTTCCGTTACACAGGAAATGTTCATTAAGAAAATGCACTGAATCCGTTCCAAAAACATTTGATTGGAGTAGTTTTTCTAGAAAAAATAAACTAATATTGATACTAAAATTTAAATCGTTTTACGTTTTACTATTGATCTCGAAATCGCAAATCGTTTCATTAGTCATCAACATTTTTAAATAAATACACCGTTATTGTTTCTCTCGTATATTGAGCTATATATTGATTGAACGTATTAATTTGCATGATTTACTATGCACTTACAACATTTTGTTTTTAAATAGTATTTCGTAATGGTGTAAAATAGTTACAGAAACAACAAACATTTGCGAGTTAATTGAGTACCTAAGTTTATTGTTTTAAAATTAATTAGAAGGTAACTTAAATGATATCAGCCATTTGGATGCAACAAGTATGAATTTAATTTGAAAGTGTAAATTAAATATCTGTCCAAATATTAGTTAAATGCAATTAATTATATCATCATGAATTATTCGTAATTATAAGAATATACACTACTGCTGTCAATAAAATGACGTAGAGTGAAATATTGGAGTCTTCAAATGACTTCATATGTCGATTGATTTATAGATAATCTACGTAAAAGATAGTTACTGCACATATTTTCTCGTTCGTTTATCTCAATATTAAATTAATAAAACTAAAATAAGTATAAAATATTTTCTAAATTTCTACTGCGACCAAATAAAATCAATAATCTGTAATAGTTGCAGTCGGTTTTGGTTTTAAAGTTAATCAAACTTTACTAAGAATATTTACACGTTATATTTAAATTTAAGTTATTTTCATGAAAAATTATGCAGTATGATATAAAATATAATTAATTTTCATAATACTTATGGTAATTTATATATTAAAGAGATAAAAATCAATTTTAAAAATATTTTTCATTCCAAATACCATTACTAAAGATTACTAAGGCTTTAATTATTATTTTTTAATTTCTAGTTTTTATCAAAAAACTAGTTACGTGACAAAATCTCAAGCCATTACATAATTAACGTTAAACATCTAATTAATTGATATATGAGCGGATATAGAAACGAAATCAGGAAATATATAAGTAAATATTTAATTATGTACTTCTACAATAATATATCGTTGAAAATAATTCTTTGCCACTTTCAACAAAAACCAAAATAATTATAAAAAAAAATCAAATGTAAAGAAAAAATTTCTCATCATAACTGCCAAGTAGATTTTTCTTGAAATATGCAATAAAATCGTTAATTTTAATAAAGTATTATTATGACTGGCGCGAATCCAGAGTAACTATGAGGGGAATCATTTTATATTGTTCAATAATTTTATAATATTATAAGTATTATGATAAATATTTTTTTAAAATAGAAAATAATAAACTTTCAACTAAAAATGTAAAAAAATTAGATTGGCACATTGAAAAGAATACTCTTTATTTAAGATGTATTAGTAAAAAATAATTAAAAAATATTGAATACGATTTAACTTAAAATTATAAAGCAAAATATAATTTTTTTTTTGGTTTTAAGAATCTATCAGTGACTCTATTTACATTTCCGTCAATATTACCGTGAATATGTAAAAGAGCAAGTCCAGTTAATATGATCTCTGACATAGTTTATATCAGTCATGTTTTGAATCTTATTATAAATATACCTCAAAACCAAACTGACATGAGCACGTTTACAGTGTAAACTGTGACAGTCTTTCTCAACCAGTGTTCCGCAGCACACTTGTGTTTATTGTTCTTTTATAATAATAATCTACTATTCTCATTATCCGATTATTTATTACGCGATTGACCGATAGTGGTAAAATTAATTTTTATAATGATCGACCTATATTTCTAGAAAGATCGACTAGCTATGGGATAGAGTCATTAATAAACTGTTTAATTATTTGATTCCTGTGCAAATTGTTTAATATCGCCTATTGGCTATTGCCTATAATTTAATATATATCTATCACTACATTGTATTACAAAGACCAAATAAACAAAATAATACATAACACATAATATAGTTTGTAGAAAATTCAAATATATCATATTTTAAAATTAAATTTGACAAGCCATCCGTGAAAATATTATTTATTGTTGATGTAGGTATTATTTTGAAAATCTAATTGATGTGAATTTTTAGTTATGTGACAAACTAAACAAAATAGTTCAACGACATGAGTTGCTAATGCTATGTTTCATGGCACAGCGAGGGCGAGCGCCGTAGCATTCACCGGGTCTAATTCACCCTATTTAAATATTTTCCAACGGGGAGCAGCATACCCCACGGGGCCAATGCACTATGAATCATCATTGACAAAATAATAATAAATAAAAAAAACAGACAAACAAAATACAGACAACAGTTAGGCCAAATGCTACAAGTATTATGATTTATTGATGTATTTATTTATTTTCTTTGACATTAAATACACGATGATTTAAACCAATTATATTTTATTGTATAAATATAATGCATTTAATCGTACGATACAATCATCAGAAAATGACAAAAAATCATCTTACCAATACGTATACTTTACTTACACCTGAAGGATATATTCATTTTATTATTTTACATTTGATCAGAATGAAACATTGTGTTATAGTGAATTTATTTAGAAATATATTGATCGAAATAAATAACCCGAACCTAAAAGTACCGAGCACATAGTGACTCTATACATAATATAAATATAAGTTATATATTAGAAAATATATAAAACAAATAAATAAAATTACTTTTTAAAAATTGATTTTTAAACAATTAAAATTACTTTTCAATATGAAACAATTCCATCCAATATCATTTGAAAGATTGACAAATATTTGTTACTATAATTTGTATTACTTTATTTAACAATGTGTCCTATAGTAAAACAAATCGATAATAATTTGTAATTAATAACTTTAAGTTTACCATTTTTAACACACTTTTGGTAATAGATATTTATCAAGAACAAACACAAATAACTGTTAAATAAAATCGATGGACAATGCAAACTACAATAATTTAGTAAAGATATATTATTTTTTTCAGTTTTTGTTTACTCCAACAGTAAAATAATAAATTAATATCGACCAATATTCACGTCGATTATTTCGGACGAATATTTCATTAATTCGACACAATAAATAAGAGCAAACACTAATGTTTTTGTAAATTATGAATTTGTGATATCTATATAGATACTGCAGTGTTAGATAAATATATTAATTTATTAAAATATGGATATGTTTTTTCTTTGTATCTACACTAATTGTCTACAAAAATAAGAATTACAAATACAATATAATATTCATATAACGTGGAAAATAATACATTTCAATCAATCAAAAAATACCCGAAGTCTGACAGGTATTTCATTTTACCATGATTATAACTGAAATTTGTTAAAGTTAATCCATCTGTCCGAACAAAAGCATCTGAGAATAATGAGAAAAAATCTTTTACTCGGTTAAAATTGTACCTCACGTCACCCGATTTATTTTTATTATTTTTATTATTAATAACGGTTTGAAACAATAACCACTCTTTTTTTATTTTTTATCAGTTTTTCCGGATGAACCATAATTCATTACAAATCGATACGGTTACTAATACATTTGATATATAAGTTTTCTTATCTCAAATAGTACGTGTGATACTTGCATACGAGGAAGTAAACATTAAGTAAACCAGGTCACGTGAGAATTTTATAAATGATGTAATATATGGACATATATGGTTTATATATATTTATGTGCGTAATTTTATATGTATGGAAAAAAATAATGCGTCGCAGCCACATGTGATATATGAGACAGATTTACGACTTAATCTTGAAAACAATTTCATAATCGAAAATATAAAACACGACCTGACCCAGATCAGTTGGGACTTACTTACAAGATGGAAGACGTCTAGACTATGAAGTTTGACATGATTTCGACCATCCAGAGAATTCCAAAACTATAAAAATTTATTATTTATCGTATCTGCGATCATACTTGCCGATTGCAAATAGCTGCGAACACGCGTAATTCCATAATTACAACACAAACACTGAGTATAATAATGTGATAGAATCGCTTAAGATTTTATATCCGTGAACAGAGTACTTATTATTGTGTCACCACGATGGCATGTTTTCTCAACACGAGAGAAAAATGCAAAAAAAAAACAGATTTCTTATTCCTAATTTTTTTTCCGCTCATCTTAAAAGCATTAAACGTTTAAAATGTTATTCTTTTGCCGGTTGAAATCTAATAAAAATATCGAGGTTCGAATACACCGATCGAAAAACCACCACTCAATCGACCAAAATAATCTCTAGTCAATAGTACCGACAAAAAAGTCGAGATATTCAAATACAAACGGGTAGTCGGACCAAATGGTAGTATAATATTTATGATAGCCTTATAGTAACATGAATAACAACGCTACAGTTGTTCAATCGTTGTGCACGAGAAGTCGGTCTTTTATGTGTTTTTTCACTATAGGATTTTCAATTGGTCGTCATTGGTGACGGGACAATTTATTTTTATTAGCCAGGATCCGATCCATGAAACATATTTTTCGGACGATAGTAAATGGGACACCGTATGTGTAGTTTTTGCTTGAGGATTTTTGTGCTCGGTGGATATCGATCGGATCATTTTAATTCTCCTTGATCTAGAATCGGACCACATACTAAACGTAGCACGTACAAATGTGTTTGTACGTAATACGTAACACGCGGACGGCCGAGAGACCCCTACGCGACGGTAGTGCCGTTATTATCCCGTTGCGTACCTACCGCGACCGTAGTAATAGTTACGCCGCCGCGCTGCATGGCATCCGAAAATCGGCTCATAGTAATTAATAATGGCCGTTGCGCGTCCGGGACGATGGGCCGCGGGTGGTGGCGGGTAGCGGTGGACGACCGGAGCGCGTGCGCGCCCCGTCCGCACACGGTCCCGGTGAGCGTATCGACCGGCCTCGGTGCCGACGACAGCGGTGGCGCGACGGCGTCGTCGTAAAAAAGCTCCCCGGGCCCACCACCCTCTCGAGTGCACCACACTATCGACGGCCACCGCTGTCGCTGCCGTCGCCGTACGCACACGCGCACACTTACGCGAGATCGCTATCCAGCACACGCTTGCACACGCGCGAGCGCACGCATAACGCACACGCACGCGCGCATAACGCGTATCGCGGCGGTGGGTGCGCGACAGCCCGAACGCTAGTGTGCTGCAGGGGATGCCCCGGAATTAGCGCTCACCACCGCCGTCAGCTGCACACCGTCGCGACCGTGTCGCAGCCAGTCGTGTACGCGATAAGTTCGGGTTTCGCGTCCGCAACACGCACAGCAGATCTCTCGGGCCTCGTGGTCCGTTTTTCACCGTCGTCCCGTTTTCCGGGTATTCCGATCCAACCGGTCCGGACCGGTCCGCATCTCGTCGTTACCTGATCCCCGTGGCCGCCGCCGAACGACTCAGCGTTCGCTGCTCCCCGCGCCCCGAATGTGCTGCGGTGCCGACACCGCGAGCAGGACGGCCGCGGTCGGCCACGGCCAGCGACGCCGCCGCTGCCACCGCCATCACCACCACTACCACCATCATCACCACCACTACCACCATTATCACCACCGAAACCACGACCGTGAGCATCACCTGATTCAACATCTGCACCACTGTTAGTGGAACAGTGCATCGCGACGATTAGGCTGCACTCGCGCGTTGCTCGAAAATCGTTGCCCTACAACACCGGCGCCGGCGGAAGCGGTTGTGGAGGCAACTGCTGTTGCCGCGGGACCTGTACTGACACTGTCATCAGCACGGTTGTCCACCATGGGCACAGTGCTCAGCATCAGTCCCAAAGATCGCAAATCCGTCTACCCGGCCATGGCCAGCAGTGCCAGCGCGGCCGAGTTCACGCTCAGCAGCTTCACGTACGAGCAGTTGACCAAGCGCCGGCACGCCGACGTAATGGCAGGCCGTAGTATATCCATGATGCTGCCGGCCAACATTAATATCAACACCATCAACAACAACATCATCAACAACAACAACAATATCAACAACATCAACAACCTGGAGAACAATTGCAAATTGGCCACCGGTGGCGGTGGCGAGTCACATCCGCAGAAAGGCACGTTGGAGAAGAGCTTGAAGAAACATTCGGCTCTGATCAATGCGCTCAGCTGGAAGCGGTTCAGCACGTCGCAGAACAAGAAGAAACTGGACAACGGTGGCAGCGGCGTGACAACCGGCAGCACCAAGTCCAACAAGCAATTGCTCACGTGCCGGCAACCGCTGGTGGACACCAACGCCAATGTGGACTGCGGCAAGTCTAACAGTGTCCGAAGGTCGGCCACCACCACCGGGCTGGACGTGGCTAACAACAACAGCGGTGGTGTGGGCGGTCGCACCGACAAGCTCGTGCCTAGAGCCACGCTAGTACCGTCGCACACATGCCACAGCCTGGTGCCCCGCAAGACCGTCATACAGGCCAGCACGTCCGAGTTGCTCAAGTGCTTGGGCATCTACTTGCACCACAAGTGCTACAAGCTCAACGATTTTCAGGCCGGTGACGCGGTCATGTGGTTGAGAACCGTAGACAGGAGCTTGCTCATACAAGGATGGCAGGTAAACACACAATTTACGGTTGTAGCGTTGCAATAAGTAATATTGTTATTATTAAACCCCTATTCACCGTTCACCACCAATCATTTGAATCCGACTCGTTATAAATGTCGTGTCCATGCCTCAGGTTCAAATACGAATACGCGTTACATCAAATAGCATTTGAACGGAATATTTATCGCTATACTTATAGGATACCTATGTCGTATATTTATTCAACATTTGTAGCGGAACGGTTAGCGCTTGCTGCGCATTACATATATATATACACACATAATCGTATTACAAGTCGGGCTCACATATTTGTGTGTACAACGTAAACCGTATAATATTTCCTCATTGATATTCTTATAGCACCGCCACCGCACCGTTTTGCAAACGATTCGTCCCTCTCGCGTCCACTTCTCCGCCACTGCTGACACAGCCACCACCCTCGACCGGCACGCAATAGTAGTAGCGTACACGCCCCACACCACTACCATCCCTCACCCACCACCGAGTGTCAGGCTGTGCGCGCTGCGTGATTTACGTCAAGTTCGCCGTCACCGTCGCCGCACCCTCCATCGTACTACACCATCAACTCTCTCACGTATAACCACCCTCCTCATCGACCCTTAAACCTTACCCCCACGACCACCATTCTACCCTGTCCTGCAGAAGACGTCGCCGCTCCGTCACAACTCTATAGACACGCGCGTGGTGGTTCTCCCCTTACACCATACAGTTGCACTCTTTGCCATATTGACGGTCCGATGACGTGTACTATAACTTAAGAGTGAAAACGCAATTTTCCCCTTTTGGACGTCGCCCCCGTTTCGCTCACCGTCGCAATAAATTAATGTGTACGCGTCGGTTATATAGCCTGTAGTCGTCATCGGCATACCCCCGGTAGTCCCGTGAGTATACACAACTCCTTCCTGAGCCGGAAAACGAGGGTGAAACAAAATTCCGTCGACGACCGTGCGTATATAAAAACACTTGTCGACCTTCCATTATCCTTTACGTAACAGTATAGAACAAGTGTAAAAGTGTAGTACAATACTGTCCATCTAATATACTTGCTGCATCTTCAGAAAAGAAGAGGTGAAAGAAAGAGAGAGAGAAACAGAGAGAGATACAGAGAAACAGAAAAAGTTTGAAAATGGAAGTGAGAAAGACTCAACGCGATGGCGTACGTATACACTTAATTTAATCAATATTTACATACGCTCTCACGCAATCCCGTAAAAACACGAAATCCTAAACGAGCCGTTTTGCGGTTCTTTGTAAACATCACCGTTATTGAACGTGTAACACCGACGTTACGGGGGGGAGGGTCCTTTCTATTCTTTCCGCCAGAGAATTGTGCTTGTACCTCACGTGAAAACGTCATTACGCGTTGCCGCGGTCCGCCACCGCGCGTCGTATTCTGCTAAAGTACAACACGCTACCAGGAAACCGCGGGTCAATAATTCGCTCCGAGATCATACGTGCCCAGCTCGCGTGGTGTACGACATACGCACGCGCGCGTGCATACCCGTCCACCCACACACCTCTGCGACGATACGAATATCCGTACCGTCCGTGCTGCGGGGATCGGAAACGTTTTCCCCGTACTCCTGTGATCAACCTGCTCGGCAGCGCGGGGTTCTGAAAACAGATTTGCATTCTTCGGCAAACGTAGTTTGATTTCTTATTGAAATATCAGTGACTTCGTTCCGTTGAAAATAAACATATCGCGAGTAATTGATCGAAAAAAATAAAAATAAAAAATGCGGAATTATATGAAATATTTACGTTTCGTATCTTCTTGGAAACGTATTATCCTTGGAAAGTCTACCTCGTTCAAACCCTTTGATAAATTTTTTTTCCAGTATTTCTATGGCGCCATCCGAGTCGGTCGGTGGAAAAATTATAATCTTTTGACAATTTTAATTTTATTTGAGGAACGGTATTCCTACGCCATACATTTATATGATATAATATGTTTACACAAAACTGTAGATTTTAATAAAATGTGCGGTTATAACATATAATATGTGTCTTAGTATTCAAAAAAAATTCTCAAAAATAATTCAATCATTTGAAATGTTTAAAAATATTAAATTAATTAATTTCAATAAAAATATGTATTTAAATATTAATGATACATACGATGTTCTTTTTTCGTTAACCTAATGACTTTAATAATTTAAAAATGTACAGATCAATCGTTTTAAAAATCGAATAAAATAGCAAAACAAACACAATATTATCTCTTGGTTTGTTTTTATTAAGTGAATTGCAATTTTTCAATTTATAAACATAAATAGTTTTTCTTGTTTAACTTACAAATATTTTTTCCACTATTTCCTCTAGTTATTTTTTCTTACATTTTGTTTATGGTTACCGTATATTCTATGGTATTTTATAAATTCGACGTATTTTTGACCAGTTATCATAGTAATCAGCAACGAATAAAAATAACAACTAGAATATTTTGCTGTTAATGACGTTAAACCCTAGGAAAGTATGTAATTTGTGTATGTGGGTATACCAATGAGTTTTTTTGCGTAGTACAAAACTTTTCCGTCAAAAATGTTTTCACGGCTATTAAATCGTACATAAATTTAAAAGTCTAGATTTTTCTTGAGTAAAAAAAACCCACCGAAATGTATGACCAACTTTTGAAATCGAAATGGCCAATAAAATATTTTACGAAAAATGTTTTAACTTTTATTACAAGTAACAAACTATTATAAATGTTGAACGAATCGACTTCCGTTAAAAGTTCTAAAACGAAATAATAAAGAGACAAAAGGAACAATTCAGTTAACATGTTAGCATGACTATCATTCGCTTTCAGTTTTAACACACTTTTGACAACGCGTATATAGTAATTTGTTGTTGGGATAAACTAACCGATACACTGTAAAACGTGCGTGCATCTAAGTCATTTTAAAGTCTAATACATAATGTATTTATTTCACTAATTTGTTTTTTAAATTACCTACATATAAAATAAATAGTTCTCAATAGCAAACCGATTATGGCTCTTCTAAATCGCATTTATGTGTTTTATTTACTGTGTTTTTTTATTTATTCAAATTTTTATTTGTATATTTCAAAAAAATAAAAAAATCTATATACATATAAACAAAATATTGATTTTTTCAGCTATAAAACTCGTATGCTGAAATAAAAATTCCAAAAATATTAAATACTGTATAGAAACAAATTGATATCAAATTTAATATTATTAAATATTTGAATACAATAAGTAAAATTTATAGATAACATTATATACATCGTACATATGATACGATGAGTACTATAGTCATATAATTTAATTGTTTACAAAATATATCGTTGAATATTTCTACAATAACCTATAAATGTTTTTTTTTTTAATTTGCCAGTCATAATTATATATTAACCATATTTTATGTAAATTAGTTTTTTTAATTAATAATATTTTAATTTTTTTCTTTTGATCCATCATCAAAAAAAGTTACATAAATAATATATTAATAGATGTTATCAAAGAGACTACGTATGGACAAAATTATAAGGTAAAGAAAATTTGCATATTTGAGAACAATCTCTAAAAATATAATGCAAAACTATTAATATAATGAAGCTTCTATTATTTGTACTATAACAAAAACTAATTTTGAAGTCAACATTGTATTTTGAACTATAATAATATGTTGTTAATATTGTTATTAATTCTCGTAAACTTTTTTTAGTTTGTTACTGGATTTTCAGTTTAACGTAAAATTTAGGTCAGTATAACAATTGCGCAATTCCGATGAACAACTTTGCATTAGTTATTTAATATCATATACAGTATATAGGTAACGCATTACGTGAATTTTAAAATTTCAAACTATCTGTAATCATGTTTATACATTATACATCAAAATGAATTCAATTTTATAACGAAGCGCAAATGTTTTCAATTTTAAAAAATCCTCACATATTAACAATAAATAAGCTGTTCATTATCCATATTTAACCATACATCGATTTTGTCTTTATAATATCCACAGTACTGTGCATTAGTAAATATTTATCTATAAGCATAATATCTTATAATATACTTAATGAATTCTGCTCTACCCTACATCAAATATACAAAAGCCGATAATAATATCGATATAAAATAAACTAGCCATAGGTCATAAATAAAATTATTGTAAGATTATCTTATACTATTAATTCTAAGCTGCTCAAGAATAATGAGATACACCACGTTAAATTCGACTTAATGAAACACGTTTTACTAAAGTTTGAAGAATCTGCGACATTAGTAACGATACGTTTTCTAAATTTGACTGACGTAAACATGCGTTACACGATTTTACGTGTAAAAGAATTAATTCATTAATATCCGTCTCGTCGTGTATCAGCGGATATTGAGACATTCGTTGTTGTTATATAGGATATTTTAAGACACCCGTACTCGGTATAACTATGATGACCCACCAAATTTCAGATGAAATATCAGCTCTAATCTTGATTAATGATTGCATTTATGCGGTGTTAGCTTTTATCGTGTTCGAAGTCTAATTTAGATTATTGGTCGTAATAAGATTAAAAAAAAATAAAAAATACGCCTGTTCCATTTCGTAGTGAATACCAATATTTGTATTTTGGGGCGATCTAGTTTGTTTTATAGACATGTGTATCCACGCGAACAATCTATGAATCATTCGGACATCACTTCACCCATCACCCACCCCTTCAGATAAAATCATCATCAATATAATGTATAATACAACAGCCGGCCAACTGCAGTTCTTGCTCAATATTTTCGACGTGTGACCTACGAAATATGCGAACACTATAGCATACATCAAAATCAACAATTTCAACATTTTAATGAAATATTAAAAAATAATAACAATATTAAAGTTCAAACGTGCATATTTTAATGCGTGTGCTAATGATGCTCCGACACTAATTCTTTCGTTTCTCTATGGATAATTATAATAGTACTGAATCAATAATTTAATCATTTCTATCCTACTAGTTCACACGCCATGCGAGTCTACTTGAATATTTAATACGTACGATAATAGTGCCAATTGTTATAATAATTTGTAATTATAATTATTTAAAAAATGAGGTAAGACAATTGTTATAAATACACGAATTCAGACAACAATAGTTGTTAGCAGAGAATGTTCTTCTCGTGTTAACAAAAACTATAAGTATTTATCATTATACGAAATAATCTAGATGACGCTTGAATTACATTTGTTTTTATAAATAAATAGACTACATCTAAAAAACTAAAGATCTGTGTCAGTCATAGGCGGACATTTGGCGGAATTTTTTTTTTTTTTTGGGGGGGCTATAATAATTCAATGTAAAATAACCCGCAGGGGTTTTATCCTGCATACCCTCTTCACAAGTAAAACTTATTACTATTAAAAATAAAGATATGTTTAAATTGTATTAAAAAAAAACACTAAATAACATATTTAAAAATAATTAATATTTTATTTTAATGACAAATATCTATTTATATCAGCAAAGATGTTCAAAATATCATCACTTTTTATATTTTTCAATAAATAGTATTACAAGATCGCTGAACCTTAGCCAAGTTTTTATTTTTTTCATTGCACTGAAACTTCTTTCGCATGTAGCCGAACTAATTGGTATTGTTAATGCTATTATAAATAGTTTTTTATTATTTATTATTTTACGATTTTCAAAAAAACCAACAGATAATTATAAAAACAACGAATAACATTTATAACAAAGTTTCAATTTTGGGGGGATACTAAAATATTTGGGGGGTAATGCCACCAACCCCCTTAATGTCCGCCTATGATATCAGTTCTTGAAAATATTTCATTTTCGCGCCATGCTTATAAATATTAAGTCACACCTGATGTTACACTTTGCAAAATAATAAACCATTACATACATTTGATAAATGTATGACTAATCAATGTCAATTGGGTTTTCTCAAGTTATATGATATTGGCTATTAAAGTAGCTATGTAAAATAGGAAATAGTAAAAATTTTAGTAATACAAATTTTACTTAGTACAATAATATACTATTTTCAGCTGTATTTAACAAATATCTGTATGTGTTCACAGCGCAAGTGATGCAATCCTGAATACAAAACAATTTTTAAAATACTGTGTTACGAACATCCTTAAAGATGATAACAAAAGATATGAATTTAAATTTTATTAAAAAAAATATACATAATGTACTATAACTATGTTCATATAGCTAATGTGTGTATTTGTACTACTAGATGTAATTTATTACACTAAATGCTATGAATACGTTACAAATCTGCTGAGCGCATAATACATAAGGGGAAAACATGTATTTGAACTCGTTAAGAGATTTTCCAATAGAATAAACTACAATACCGATTTTAACCGGAAAACTAGTCAGGGCGGTTAGATGTTTATATAGGGATTAAGAGATTTAATCGGGATTTAATGATAGTGCCGGCGTCAAGTGAATCAAACAAAAATCGGATAGTCGAAAAGACCCCACTGACAGATTAAAAATATATATTCTTAGTGCCATTACGGAATACTAAGCAGTTGTTTTGCAGTCACTTGTGGTAGCTGAAATTGAATCAACACAAATAAACGTACAGACTTAATTTTAAACAGCTTGGTGGAATAACATAAATTAATTTATGTTATATATTACATTTTATTTTATTTCTTACAACGGATACAAGATATTATTGTAATAAATATACCAGCAAATTGATAATTGATTAGCCCTGCATTTCCAAACTAAAATCACATGTATGATTGTAAGATTATAGTAATTTATTGATACATTGGTATAGGGACATGAAGCATATAAGTAGTGTATAAGTATTATAAGTATAATATTGACCTGGTTCTTTTGAATTTTTTGTTCATTTGTAGCGTGTTTATTTTATAATATCAAGGTTGACTTTCTTTGAATGGTATCAATCACATTTTTTTTTTAAACCCTAAGCCCGTAAACCCTTTCAACTCGTGTTCTACGTTTAGTGCAACAGTTTGATACAATGAACTCGTTTGATCATCAATATACACTCACAAGAATGTAAATAAATGTCACCTGTCCGGTTACAATTTACTTTCAATTTTAAAAGAATAAACTTTAAGACAACAACTGAGAAAAATACATTAACCCGGTAACAAAATTGAATGGTTACACTAAACATTTCGGAATTCAGCATGTAGAGTTATTTGTTAATATTTTGTGTATATATGTATATATCTGATATCTGTCCATTGGTGTAAGTGAAAATAGCCTATACAGGGAAAATAAATTAAATTAGTCGTTGACATATATTAGAGTTGAAGGAATATAAATTGACACATATGATGTATATGGGACCTAAACTCGTAGGGAGAAAGGTATCTTATATAAAAAATAAAAATGGAAAAAAATCACTAGTCCTGTCTACCAATTCCTAACATGTCCGGGATTGTATGGATTGTGTGTGGAATAATATTATTTTATGTATACACAGCATATATTATTGAGTTTCATATACGACAGTACTTTGTTTATGTGATATCGTTCCAAAGCATAATTTAATCAAATAATAAATTGGATTAAACAACAAACTATAAATTATTATGACTGTTTCTGGATCGAAAATTCTCTATTTAAATTTGAATTTTCAGTATGATTCGTAAATATTAAGTCCACAGATAAAATGTAAGACAACGAAATATATGCAAATATTTCTGTAATAAAAACAGTACATTAAACATGTAATTGTCTCGGACGTATTTGACGTCAACAATTTCGTTTACTTTTTTGGTTCAAGTATAGATGTACCCTTCATTGCGCATTAATTACATTTTTATCTTAACAAGGAAAAATTATATTACTGTATAAATATATTTTTCTCGTGTTAAGCAAAGATTTAGATTAACATTGCTAACTTGTAACATATATATATATATATATAATACATAATACGACATTTTTGAAATATTGTTATAACACGTGATACAGACTATTATAAATGTATAGTTTTTTTTTTTTTGAACATTTTTAAGTTGACATTTCTCAAATTAGTATAATTGGAACACCTATTGCTGAAAAGGTATTGAAAAATATCAAAAATATTTCAAATATAATACATATATGTGAATTTTCTTAATGCGTTTCATATGACGTGTATGCACACTGTGTGATCTCTTTTTAAGCGGTTTTATCTAAATACATTTCATACATTTCTTGTCCGAGTTAATAACGTACGAACTGTTTTTATGGGCGTATGCTGTAGGCATTCATCAAGATACAGTTCCAATAAAATAGGACATCGATTTAAACATGAGCACGTAACCGTTAAAATTTATATATATTTATATCTTCAAAGGCACTATCGAAAAAATAAATTGCATTAGGTTATGTATTTTATATATCACATATGCCATACAACATACATATTACATGTTTAGTACTATTAACAACCGAAAACTTGATAAATCGTATAATAACAGTAACTGAGTATGATGATGGATGGCAAACGGGTTGGGGAGAATCCTCGTAATGGTTATACCCTAAATTTAACCGTTTCGTTATTTCAAGTATTTTACACGTATTTTACACGAATAAAACGAATTGTGATAAAAATATAATGTATTCGTTTTCAAATGACACTCTTGTATAAACGTGGCTTGTAATATATATAACTTTAACATTAAATCTGTATTATGAACCAGAGATTTGGAACATAGTTTTATTCCAATATTTTAGTCGAGAATGTACATTTTAAATCTAAATATTGTTTTATCGGATAAAGTGTATGAAATTTAACATTTGTTTTAGAGTTAGTTTTCTTTTAATTCGCTAAATGAATTAAACACGGTTAAAAGCTAAAAACCATGCTGATAACTTTCGGCCACGAGTGGAACACATCGTTGAAAAACTTAAAATCAAAGCTCTTCGCAGTAAAATCGGGTAACGTGTAAAAATTGAGTATGAATGCTGTACGTTTTGTTCGATTAGAATATGTATAATCGTATACACGCATAACGAAAAGTATGCAAAAACGTGCAAATCCCCTTCAAACCTACCCTCCCCCATCCCCTCGCACAAATGAAATCATTACCCAAACACCCGCTAGAACGAATAACGTATGCATAACGTATTTAAATACGTGAGTATATATTAATCGTTATAATAATATATATGTGTATTGTGTGTTTTGCGCAGGACGTGCCGTTCATAAACCCGGCGAACGTGGTGTTCGTGTACATGCTGGTCCGAGAACTGGTGGACGAGCGGGTGGCCACGGAACCAGAACTGCAGGCGGTGGTGCTCACGTGCCTGTACCTGGCGTACTCGTACATGGGCAACGAGATATCGTACCCGCTGAAGCCGTT